AGAGAAAACAAAAACACCACCTAACCACCCCCACCCCAAAAACACTTTTATTGTTTTAGCTTTCAATGAAACAAATAATGTCTTTTAAATGTTTACAACCCTTCGCATCAAACAATAATATAATTATAACACTTTTAGGTGTTTGTTATACTTTCAAGATTGTATTTGCTTAGTCAAAATTTCCTCAATATTATTAATTATTCCCATGAAAATCTAACCGGTAAACCAAAAAGAAAAATGACATCAAGATATTTAATATAAAGGTGTGTTTGGTTGGTTTTCTATAAAGTTCTGCATGAATTAATAAAGTTTTTGTTTGTTAAAGTTTTTTTATAGATTAAAGGAGCATGTTTTTTTTAATTGAAGGGACGTATTTGAAAAAAAAAACTTAACTTTCTTCCATAATTATTGATTGTTTTCAAGGCATCAATATCAAACAAAAAGGGTTGCTCTTAACATGATTAGATGTTTAATGAAGAAACCATTTTTTATGTCATAAAGTTGCTACGAAATGGTTATGTATAGCTAACTAAATATGTTTTTAGTCCCATTAAACTCATTAAGCTACTAAAAAACGGTCTCAAAGTTGAGTATGAGAATCTCTTCTAAACCTATTTTTAAGTGTTGGTCAAATAATCGTGATCTTGGTATTTCAAACCCCAAAACACTTCAAATGAAACCGTGAGAAGGGTGGGAAGAAAAAAGAATCTAACATGGTATTTCTTTGAAAAACAGCAAAACTAAAAGAATGAAAGTGATGTGTTGATTTTCTTCTTTTTAGTGAAGGAAATGTGTTGTTATTAGTTCACACAAGAGTTGGGTGTCAGTTTCAGGGTCTCAAAGTTTCAAACCCCTAGGATTTAAAGAAGTAGAAGTAGAAATAGAAGTAGAAGAAGATGAAGGGTAGGGTAGGGTAGGGTAGGGTAGGGTAGGAAGAAGGGAAGGTGGGGACAGGATGAGAACCTTGTAAACATTAGTTTATAAAAAACGAAGGATGTGATTTTGAATAAAGTAAGAAGAAAAACAGACATCTTTCCCCGTCTTGAAGAAATATAAAAACGTGAGATCTCCAATGCAAACATTGAATGCAAATTTGATGATTTGGAAGATTCGGTTCTGGGGATGTGCGTGCGTTCCCATTTTTATAATCGTTAACACAAATGGAGACAAGAAGGCAATCTTTGACAATTTATGGTGGGGTGGGTGGGCTTTGTGAAAATGACCAACAAGACATACTCTCCCCTCTTCCCACCTTCCCATCAAATTTCTACTATATCCATCTCCTAAAACTAACATATAACTCTAATAAATATAATTTTTAATCGTATTTCCCAAAATGAAATATGTTTTTTTTTCATTTTTTTATGGATGAATAAAGTAAACTTTCTATAACCAATATATAAAGTATTTTTTCTTAACCTTGTAAGCAAGCTGTTAGTTAAATGCTCAAGGAATATGTTAAAAAAGCATTTTTAATAGATTTTATAAATAGAGAAAATGAAGATTTTATTTTCTTTTTTGCTTTAACAGATTCTTTATGTTTAATGAATTCTCTAAAATTTAGGGGTCGTTCTAAACGCTTACACGGTAAGTGTTTACCAGTCACTTTACCTTATAGAATGAATATGACAAAGATTGAGAATCTTACTTGGTAAGAACAACAAGAAAGACCAAGAGTCTTGTCCAGTAAGTGAGAATGACGACTCTTATCTAATAAGCATTTACCAGATTAAAAAATGTTCCATATGATGCCGTTTTAATAAACTGAAAATTACCCGGTAAGCAAAATGAAAGTGTTTATTACTCTTACCGAGTAAGCATCAAGTACACAGCCTCCCCATAATGTGAGAAGAGAGAGATGATTTTTCTATTCATTCCTATCAATGAAGATTAAGTTATTATTAAATTACTATAACTTTGTTTTTTTAAGAATACTCAGATGATAAAATTATAGAATATTTTAGTAATATAGTTAATGTTGAAAAATCCAAAACAAAAAAACTGTTGACTCAATCTCAATTATAAAGAATATGGTAGAGAAGCTCTAATAGTTATATCAGTAAAAAAAAAATTTATCTTATTATAATTAACAAATAGATTATTGTAAATGAAAGGTAGACATGTCATCTACAAGCATGATACTCGATTTTCTACCATGTTTTCTCTTGATAGTGTAGTATAAACTGCAAATTCAATTATGTTTCCCTTCACCGCCTTACCATGTTATATCTAAATTTTTTAAATGGAAATTATATATTTATGTCTCTTACATAAAAGCAACAAAAATAATTGTTAAAAGGGGTTCAGCAAAAGACTGACCTGAATTCCAATTGCCGGAACAGAAGGAGGTTGGAATTTCCAATGCAGAGAGGGTTCTATTCAAAAAGTTCCAAAACTGCAAAAATGCCATCTATAAAAAAATTCTGAAGAGAAGTAAATAATAGAGAGTAATAATAATACTGTAATAATAGTTGACAGAGGCAATAGGCATGTGATTCCAGGGGCAAGGGACCATGCCATTTTGTTGCTGCAGGTTTACTCTTTTAAACTTACAATTATTGTGACTTCAGCTAGGGCCTCATTAATTACATACTACTTATTCATGTAAAGCTTACCTAAGGTTGATGACCCAAAAAAATGATGTTTTTCTTCCATTCTTCGATGTCGGTTTATCATATGATCATCCAGAAGATTATTGTCGATGATAAGAATAGAACGGTGAACAATAAAAAATGAAGTTTCTCTAATTCAATTTCAAGTTGATGTTTGAACCATCTTCAGTCCAGAACATATAGATAAGTTTGCTAACAGGCAAGAAACTAAGCCGCCATTTACCAACACAAATTGGATAACCCCTAATTGGGGAAGAGTATGGTCTGGGTTAAAGGTTTAGAAATGCCGACTGAAAAGGGTAGTTTACCAAGTGTAGTAAATGTGCTTACTGATAAAATAGCTTTATCATCTTATGCTGACTTGGTAAGTGAAACTAATAGTGCTCACAGAGTAGGTGCTTGGTCACTATCAGTCAAATGGGTCTTTATGTAAACTAGTTGATGCTTACCAAGTCAGCACCACTGGGCAGTAGAGAAAAAAGCCCTAATTTGCAACAAGTAGCTAAAAGCTATAACATGATTATCTTTTGGGAATCTTGGTTCCCGAGTAAGACCATACAGTTAGAGTTGTAACGTCCCATAGAGAAACAAAATACAATAAATTCATGAACTTAATCATCAAGAACTGAAGTCATTTATAACTGACTGAGAAATAGAAAACCTATTATCTGAGAGCCAAAAATGCCAGCCTTTTTTTTAACCAGGTTGAGGCGTAATGGTTGAGGTCCTAGGAATGTGGTGGAATATCACATTTGCCCGATGTTCGATTCTAGGTGTCCACAACAATTGTAGCAACTGAATTTATCAGGAATGGTTTCTTACGGTCACAATTTATCGGAATTAGTCCAGACATAGTGTAATACATCCTTCCAAAAGAAAATTACCAGCCTTTTTAATGAAAGGGTTACAATTTTTCTTGGATTGAGATGGTCCAAAAGAATACTTGTTCTGTTGTTCAGGATTCAGGAATGTCATGTACATTATCCTAAATCCTAATACATTAGAGTTGGGCCAATGATACTCAGGCCCACCCAGGCAGTTTATCAGTAACCCATGGTAATGAGAAGAGGAAAGGATACATAGCACACAATAGCATAACAAAATTTAATGACAGGGTATTGTCATGCAGAGAATATTAGTGGGATTCTTTGGTTAAATAACCTTCTGTCTTATTTTATATGCATGACCTTCCAACATGTTCGAGAATGGCACTCCTTAACAAAAAGAATACACTTTCATACACTATAATGCCTAAAAAGCAATCAAAAGGTCATGGATTTAAAAGGCACAGGAGACCATTTAGCTATATAACCTGTATTTAGTAGGGCAGGATCTGATGAGCTTTCAGTTTGGATGCCAATTGTTGAGGAACTTATGAAACAGGAGAAACAAACTGAACAAGGAACTGAAGAAAATTAAGGCGCACATCTGCAACTATCTTTAAGGTGTTATTTGATCTGACTTGCGAAGAGTTTGGATTGAGTTTGTTCCTACCAACATTTGCTCCAAAGCGATCTCTGAAAATCATTGGATGAGAATTGTATGGATAAAAATCTGCTATCCCAATTTTCACCGTCTCATCCATGGCCACCAATCATGTGAAAACACATAATTTTTTTATATAATGTGAATTTATTTAATTGGTGTTTTTATTCTCTCTCTACTAATGTGTTTTCACGAGATTGTAGACAGGGATGGGAGGAAGAAATTTGGGATGACAAATTTATATCGGAATTGTATTAGAGTTCCTTCTAAGCATTTCAGCAAGAAATATTTGTAAATTTTAACTTTCTTTGTAACTAAGCATGATCTTGGCCTCTTGGGTTACCTCAATTAAACTGCCTATAGATTATAGATCTATTATTCATAATCAAGGAAATTTGTCAATGATATATGTTAATATAATAAATTGAAAAAACACACAACAACTAGATAGAAGCTAATTGTGCAAGTAGATAGGATAAAAGCAGCAATAGTGACAGAATGCTTTGCAGTGGATGTCCTCTGTTGTCACAAAATACATCCATGACTCCATGAGTTGTATCTTATCAAATGGCATGATAGGGAAGGATTATGGATACTCCTTAAATCTTACACGTATTTACCACTTTAGAGGCATCCTTCTTTCATAAAACACCAAACAGCTACTATCTTCCTTCTTATTACATGTACTGATAATTCGATGGATTGGTGCTAAAGCACGAATACTGAATACTATAGATATAACCAATGAAATGTGTTATTACCCTGTGAAATCCAGCATAATATTTATTAGATGTTTTATTACAAGCATATTAAAGCACTTTATAGAGAGAATGACTATGACAGCAGTAGAAATAAAGGGAAAGCACATGGACCTTATGTGCCATGTGATCTGCTGATAATCTGCTATAACCTTCGAAGTTCTTTAAGTTTTCGTGCGTTATGCTCCTTAATTCCATTCCTGAACCGAACGCTAGCTGAATGCTGCTTCTCTTTGAAGACGAGCATGGTAACTTTGTCATGTTTGGCTATTTTCCTTTCCAAGTATTCTACTGCCTGTGCCTGGACTGATTTCTCATCAAACAGCTTATGCAATGAGGAATTAGCACCAAATAGAAGTGTTGTCCCATGTAAAAAGTTCAACCATGATATCCATGCAAACACCAGTAAGTGTAATAGATTTCCTAACTAAGGAGTCATCAAATGTGAAGAGAAATATAACCAAAAGTGTTTCATTGACATAACACTTACCCTCATTGAGAGCCCTAGGCATTAGAAGTGCCTGGTCTTGATACAAGGAAAAGGGGTAAATAAGACATACCAGATTGTGACGCAGCTTTGACCATAGCTATGTCCTTCAGTCTCTTCACTTTTCTAATTGCTTCCATGTCTTCAGAGAATGCATCTGTGTCCTTTATTTTGACCATATTATTTGTTTGAAAGCATGCAAGTGCTTTCTCACATGCCTACAGAATAATTAAAAACTTTAAGATGAATAGACAAAATCCAATGGACTTGTCTGTAAGTACGGAAGCTGGAAAGTTGGAACAAAGAAAGTAAAGTTACGGATAGGAATTAGGATAGAGATAGAAAGTTGAAACTCTAGCCAGACTATTGATTTTTATGAACATGTTAGCAAAGACTTGACAGCTATCAATGATGGCTGACAAAGTAAAGAAATGAGTTGTGAAGGCATCGCAAACATATCCACACTGCATAGTTGTATGAAAAGCGAATAGCTACTTGGATCCACAAACTGGATTAGAAAAAATTGAGCAGTAAATCTTGTGTTGCAACTACCACCATCAAATGCATAATGACGAGTACTAGATAACAAATTAAGAAATCCTAGAAGAGCTTGAGTATATTCTCATCATCACATGCTTTAATTCTAAATGCATATTAGCTCATGTTTCCATATCTGGAAACAAATTGACGACACTGACTATCATAGAAACGTCGACCAAAAACACATGCCAAACACAGATATTGGTACCCACCTACAGCCAATCCAAGCAATAAAACATTTACAGAATAGTTATATACTACAAGAGTTGCAATTTCCCACCCGAATACAAAATTGGATTTCATCTTTGCAATTTTCCTGGAGAAGTTCCAGAGAGCCAGCCTTGTATTTTGTTCATGGAAACTCAACTCTGTTTAAGAACTGGAATACAATTATGTTTTAGAAGTTACATCATCTTAAGTTATGCTGATTTATTTGTCAAATTACTAAATAAAAGAGCTTGATGTCATGTTATGTTGCAAGAACATCAATTTAACAATGCCAATACATGATACACGGATACCAAGATTCAGAGATTTAAGTTTGGCGAAACAGGGGTACATTTAATGTGTATTGTACAAATCTTAAAAACCAGGAATAAAAGAAAGAAGTTACTTCATAATTCATGCATTCAATATGTAAGATAAATACACACTAAACCCATCTTATCATGCTTTTACGCCCATTTTAGTCCACTATTAGAAAAAGATTACTTCTTATGATGTCTCGTTTTCCGTCAAAGTCACATTCATGCCAAGACAAATCACCTTTCTCGCAATAGCATAAAACTTATTCTCGAGGGCATGCTCAGCAAACATGAACCATTCTCTGTATGAAACCTGTAGCCAGTGATCTGTAACAGATTTCAGTTCGCGTAGAACCAATCCCTCATATCTCAAAGCCAAGCAACTCTGAAAATAACGAACATGAAAAAGAGCATCTAGACACATATATTCGGCAATAATACATGACAAAATCAAAAGCGCCATAAATACTGAAAATAGAGAACACAAGTACGCATGCGTGCAGAATGTATCAACATGACCAAGACAGAATCTAAACAAATTGATATTGTAGTAGGTTTGAATTTGATATCTGTATAACAATGCAAAAAAAGCAAGCAAAGCCATTTAATAAAGCATTTGAGTTAAGTTTTCTCATAAATGATCTGTATAAGCTCTTTAGTAATGCAACTGAAGTATCATAAATCGATCTAACAAATGATGCTTCAACCTTCTCAGTTTAGCTTCATTCGAGCTCTGCATGCATTATCCAGGATGAGCAAGTCCTCCAACCTCCCTACTTTATAGATACCATTTCCACTGTGACTTAATGTTCCTAACTCAAATTTCTCTCTTCATCTAATCAAACCTTAGTATACCACAAATTAAAGGCCAATCTGATCCTCTAATGAGAGACATTAAGACTTGTACAATTTCAATGACAAATTCAGATCATTAACATAAGCCAGACTTCCGATTTTATCAAGTTGATGATTGGTCAGATAATGTGAAAATCCAAGGTTAATTGATCATGCTGATTCATGTAAACATGCACACATCATACGATATCCTGATACCTCCATTTTAAAACCCTAGCTACCAACACACACAAATGAATTGAAGAAAATGTATGAAATCAACGAATGGACATAGATATTCAAAAGGACATGCCTCTACATCGCCGGAAAGTGCAAAAGCGCGAACAAAAAACTCTAGGATCAGAAGCTGCTGATTAACAGATTTCTCCTTAAACTCTCGAAGAACGCATAGAGATTCATGCCTCATGAAGTCTATCACACTCGACCGGACATCTAGCAGCGATTTCACGTCTCTGATGATCAAAACCGACTCCAGAATGCGTAGAGTCCCGTCATCAAATCTGAACAAGTGAACGAAGTTCCGATCCGAAAGTGTGTGATCATACAATCAAAATTTAAATTATGGGAAGCAACATTTAAGGTTTGATAGAGAGAAATAGAGAAAACTAACCTTCTGTTCTGTACCAGAGAACGAAAGAGGGAAATTTGCTGGGAGATGCTCTCACTGTTACACATTGTAACAGTGGATTTGGCGCTTGATGACGACCAGAGGTATATATAAAACCATATTTCAAAATTGCCGGCAGAAGGTAAGATCAAAAAAAAATGGCCCATGCAGGTCTCGAACCTGCGACCTTCGCGTTATTAGCACGACGCTCTAACCAGCTGAGCTAATAGGCCATTTTGATAAGCGTTCAGATTAAATCTATTTATATAGTTATAAAACTCAGATGGAAGAGAAAAATTTGGCCCATGCAGGTCTCGAACCTGCGACCTTCGCGTTATTAGCACGACGCTCTAACCAACTGAGCTAATAGGCCATCTTGTTAAAATTCATTTATACTAAATTATCAAAATAATCATGGATAAAAACATATTTTTTTAAACCCAAAATAGCAGGAATGCTCAAAATACTGACCAATCCAATCCCAAAAAAACCTTTACATTGTGTAACCCGGCGCATATTTGATACAAAATTATATCAAACCGCATTTATTGGGTTGGGGTAATTTGAACCAACCCGATGAACCCAATACCTTTTCTATACTACGGATTTAATATGGTTGTCAAAGTTCTTGATTAATATATGTACATTAGACTAACTCGTAATTAATTATATTCAAAATTATATTACAATTTCAACCATCATTTTACGTTCTTATTTGCATGAAATTTCAACTTTTTTTTTGAGTTTATTAGCCTTTTTTGCATTTTATCATTTTGATTTTATTTCGTTTAAACAAAAAGTTTAGCTAGATTATAAAATGATGTACCAACAACTCAACTTGACCAACCCAACCCAACCCAACCCGGACGGTTAGCATTGGGTTGGGTTATTCAAATGCTTTCAACCCAGCCAACTTAACACATATGCATTCCCACATAATAGCATAACATTTTTCTTGGAGGGGGGGGGGGGGGGGGGGTCCTTTTCCATCGGAGCATTCGATGCCTCTTTTAACTATCTTAGGAGATCTCATATAAAAAAAAATCTCATTTCTATGTTAGCTCTTTAATTATTTTAGGAGATCTTATAAAAAAAATATAATATTAAAAAATCATTTGTAACTCTCTGGGTCCCTACCGACGTTGGGGTGCGAAAGCAGGTGGGTTGTTTACATGGACGGACCTAATGTGGTGGCATGGGTGGCACGTGCCACCGTATTATTTTGCGGCCGAAGGGTAAAAAATTTAAGTTTGTTAACGGTGCTACCGTATCGTTTTAGTAGGTGCTACCGTATTTCCCTGAAATCCAAATTGTGCAACTAAAACCCAAACAAAACAAAACCCAAATAACCAAAACCATACTTTTTGTAATTATTTTTGGTTATATATTGACCGTTTTCAAAAGATGAAGACGCATCAGGTACAAGTTTATGAGTTGTTTATCAGTACTTAGGGCTGTAAACGAACCGAACGGAGGCTTGTTCATGTTCGTTCGTTTAACTTAACTGAACAAACGAACGAACACGAACTGTAAACGAACAAAAATCTTTGTGTTCGTTCGTTTAGAAATAAGGTGTATTCGTGTTCGTTTATATTCGTTCGTAAACATGCTAAACGAACATAAACGAACGAACATAAACGAACGAGCTAAACGAACATAAACGAACGAACATAAACGAACGAGCTAAACGAACATAAATAAATATTATTTGAATTCAAAGTAAATAAATAAAAGATAATATATTAAACTTAATATATAAATGAACATAAACAAACGAATATAAACGAACGGTAAATGAACGAGSGTTCACGAACATAAATGAACGAACGAGACTCTTGTTCATGTTCGTTCGTTTAACTAAATGAACAAAAGAAAATAGTTCATATTCGTTCATTTATTAAATAAACGAACATAAACGAACTTCCCGCCGAACGGTTCACGAACGGTTCGTTGAACGTTCGGTTCATTTACAGCCCTATCGGTATAATAAAAACCATATTTTTTGTAATTATTTTTAAATGTATATTATACTATATTAATTATATGATGCCACTGTTTGAAAAAAATTCTGGGTCCGTTCCTGATTGTTTAGCTAACAAGAAGCAAAGTCTCCATCAACGCATATAAAACTGGTATAAGGAGTCAAATATGAAAAGAAACAAAAAACTTGCTCCATTTCGCTCCATGTATTAATTTTTATATGTCACTCCCTTCAAAGAATCTATGTTACTGTATGATGTGACATTATATTATATTAAATATGCATGTGACATTATGTCATGTTCATATTTTGTTTTGTTTAAAAGGTAAAAAATTATTAAATGATGTATATATAAGTTCCATTTCAAAAAAACCTAAAAAAACGAAAAACCAAAGAAAAACTTCATACAATCGAATCATTACAACAACACAGATCGAATTCTAGTTTGAATCCTTCCATGCCTTCAATCCCACCACCACCACCAAACCCACACAATGATTTCTTTTGATCCCCAACAACATTACAACATTCACTAACAGAAATTCAAACATCATACAACTAAAATCATGATTTTAAGCAAATAAATTAGATTTTTTCGTGAGTTTTATTTAGATTATTGAGGTAAAATGGATAAAAGTATTTTAAATTTTAATGTTATTATTTTCTTCTAATTATATATATATATATATACATATCCCGATTTATTCTGAGGCTTAGGAGAATGAAGCAGCCTCGCCCCGAGTGTGAGTGAACTCCCTTCTACTTCCAGGCAATAGGACTAAACCTAAATTATCTTCTCTTCTCTCCGTTAAGTCCAATTAAATAAATGATATTTTTTTTTTGTCATTTTACCTGTTTTCTTAATTTTATTGTTTTACAAAAACTATCAAACTTTAGGCTGCGTTTGGTACATGGGACGAGACATGACGGGACAAAACTCAATGTCTCACGTTTGTTGCAGCATGAGACAAAACAAGAACTCACTATCCCACGTTTGGCGCGACATGGGACAAGGACAAAAATTGGGACAATGTGAGACAACATGAGACAAAATATGTTTTTTCTTGTTCTACCAAAATAGGTGGAACAAGATGAGACAAGAATGAGACAGTTTTGGCCACCGCCACCTCCACTTCCTCTTCAACTACAACAACATTTTCCACTGCCTCCATAACCACCATCCACCAAGTCTATCGCCACCTCTACCATAGTCGACCACTTGACCACCACCGTCCATTGCCACCACCTTTACCACCATTCGCCACCTCCAACTCCTCCTCTATCACAACAACCTCCTTCACTACTGTCAGCCACCACCCATTACCACCAACACTACCACCGTTGGCCACCTCCACATCCTCCTATGGCACAACAACCTCCTCCATGACTTCCACAACCACCGTCGACCACTGTCTCTACCTCCATAACCACCGTCGGCCATCGACACCTCCACCATAACCAAAACCACCTCCATCACCATCACTGCCATCAACTATATCAAATTTGGTATCATTATATATATATATGTATATATATATATATATATATATTCATTTGTATGAAAATTGTGTACAAATATTTATAAATTAAATTATATAATTATTTACTTTATTTGTGTTAATTATAATTATTATATAATATTTAAAATCATCAAATAATTTTTGGGATAACTTGTTTAGTTCTTTCTGTCCGATCCTAATCGTATCAAACACCAGACATAATATTATTCTGGGTTTGGTGGCCGGAGTTTTAGATTTTTGTGGGTTATGGTGGTGATGGGTTTGGTGGCCGGTGCGGTGGTGATTTGGTCCCTGTGGTTTCGTCCCCGAAGATGGTTCATTTTGGTCTCAACATTTGGTCTCGACGATTTGGTCCCAACGATTGGCGTAGAGAGGTGATCCAATGAGGCGTATCACCGGAGATGACAAAGATCGTCCAGGGTTATCACCGGAGATGGCGTCGGGGGTGAGGGGTATCTGAATGTGATGAAGTTTGTCTGTGTATATGTATTGTGTGTCTGTGGTGTATGTGTCTGTATATATATTAATGATAATTATCTAACATGTCCGACGATTTTTCTGAAAGTAAGAAATTTAAGAAAACATGTAAAATAATAAAATACCTTTCATTAAATATAACGTGACAGACAAATCTATTAAAATAAAATTGAGGGACGAAAATTGTTAAAATTAACAAAAGTCAAGGACTAAAAGTAAATTTTATGTAACCATATTTTATCTACTAAATTTTATGGACTGATACTATATAATCTATACTATATTATAAAGCATTTGACTAAAACTCTTAAACTCTTAAAACTCTTAAA